AGCAATTCCATTTCTAGAAAGTCTTTACCAAGAAGTCACATGCAAAAATATAAAAATATGTACTCATTATAGTATATTTTACACTATAAAAGAGTGGAAACAATCCAAATGTCCATCTATAGGGACTTGGTGAAATAAACATAGGACAGTATATATACACAATAGACTATTGAGAAGCTGTTAGAAAAAAAGGAAGGGAGAGAGGGAGAGAAAGAGAAGCAGTCATCCATACCCTTTGGCTCATGAGCTATCATGATTTGGACAAGGTCTGAATGTATCCCCCAAAGTTTCATGCCTAGTCCTCAGTGTAGCTATGATGAGAGGTGGTCGTTTTCAAGAGATTAGGAAAGTTAAGCAGGTTAGTGAAAATCCGTTAGGTTATTGGGGGCACTCTCAGAAGGGATTAACACAGTTTTCATGGGACCCTAGTTAGTTTCTGAAGGAGCAAATTGTTATAAAAAGACCAAGCCTGGCCCCTGAATTCCTCTTGCTTCCTGATTCACCATGTAATCTCTCCCTGTCCACATTCTTGCACCACGAAGCCATCTGCCATGTTGGAATATAACCAGAAGGACCTTACTAGAGCTGAGCAGATGCTGGCATCATGTACTTGAATCTTCAGAACTGTAAGCTAAATAAACCTCTTTTCTTTATAAAGTACCCAGGCTTGGATATTTTGTTATAGCAATAGAAACCAGACTAATACATGGCCCTACCTCCAGTGCATCACTTTGATCTCTGCTTCCATTATCACATCTCTTGCTCTGACTCTGACCTTCCTGCCTCCGTCTTCTAAGGATCCTTGTGATTTTATTGGGCCCACCTATATAATTCAGTATAATCTCACTATTTCAAAGTTCTTTTTTTTTCAAAGTTCTTAATCACATCTTCAAAGTCCTTTTTGCCATGTAAGATGCATATATACAGATACATATATACATAGATACGTAGATACCTATATACCTATATACATACATTCGGATGTGGATATCTAGAAGAGGTAGACATTATTCTGTTTATCACAAAATTATTGTAGAGTTCTTACACCATTCATGAAATAGAATAATATTACTTAAAGGTTAACTGAATTAGTTAAAAGCTATACTATAAACACTAAGTCAATTAAAATAATAAACAATTATTATAGTTATTAAGCCAACAAAAAAGGAGATAAAATGGAATTTAAAATTCACCTACCAAGGAGACAGAAAAAGATGAAAAAGGGGAAAAAAATTTAGTAAATAGGAAAAAAAAGAAAAATGATAGGTTTGAGCCTAAGTATAATAATAATACATTAAATGTAAATGATCTAATTACCCAAATTTAAAAGTTTGTCAGATTACCTTTAAAAAGCAAGACACACCTATGTGCTGAAAAAACTTTTAACATGAAGACACAAATAGGCTAAAGGGAAAATATAGAGAATATTAACACTAATCAAAAAAGAAAAAAATGCCTATCTCAACACCACATAGTAGATTTCAAAGCAAATAATATTAGTAGAGGTGAAAAGGTTATATCACAACACTGAAAGGATCAGTTTATCAAGAAGACATAGCAATCCTAAATTTTATGTATCTAATAAATGAGATTTAAAATACATGAAATAAAAACTAATAGAATCAAAAAGATAAATAAACTCACAATTATAAATAAAAATTTCAATATTCCCTCTTGATAACTCACAGAACAAATAGGTATATAGGGAAATCTGTAAGGATATAAAAGATTTGAATAACACTATCAACCAATTTGACCTTATTGATATTTGTAGAATGCTCTAACAAACAATAAAATACTCTTTTCCCTCTTTTCCCAAGACAAAACATATTTCAGACCATAAATATGTACTCAAACAATTTTTTTAATTTATATCAAAGTATTCTCTGAATATATATAATTGAATTAGAAATAATAAATGGACACATTTTTGGAAAATGCCTCAAATGTTTGAAGTAATACACTTCTAAACAATGCTTGAGTAAAAAACAAAACCAAAAAAGGAAATATTTTCCACTGAATAAAAAGGAATTCACAATATCAAAATTTGTGAAATGAGGCAAAAGTAGTATTTAGGGGAAAAATTTTTAGGGGAAATTTTTATGTTAAAAAATCCATGAAACAGAAAAGAAAAAAGAAATCAAATCTGTAACCTGAATTTCCACCTTGAAAAAGAAACCAAATTTCTCTAGTGTGAAAAACTAAAAGTGTAAATAAGGACTAAAAGGTATAATAGATAATGTGAAATAGGAAGAAAAGGGGCAAACAGGAAGGGGAAATGGGAGGGGTAGGGGAAAGAAAACAAGGGAATGGAATTAATACGAGAAAATGAAAAAAATGGAAACAAAGTCTTTGTAAATAGGGAGGGATGGAGGGGTTGAAGGGAGGGCAGGGAAATGGGGAAAAAATAAGATCCAAGAGAGATTATGTAAGGTGCAAATTCCAATGATGAATGTCATTATATTGTATACCTAAAATGTACCAATAAAGTTCATTAAAAAAAGAAACCAAATTAAATGAAAAGCAAGTTGAATAAAGAAAAAATAAAGATCAGAGTAAAAAACTATAAAATAGCAGAAAAAGTAATTAAGAAATCGATTCTACCAAAAGCTATTTCTTTGAGATCATTAAAATTCATAACCCTAGTCAGAATGATCAAATGAAAAAGAAAATTCAAATTACCAATATAAAGAATGAAAGGTTACAACACTACAGAGTCTACATATATTAAAAGGATAATTCAGCAGTTTATGAACAACTTTGTACAACTAACTTTGCCAACTTAGATGAAATAGACAAATTCTTTGTAAGTCACTAACTACCAAAGCTTACTCAAGATGAAATAGACAACCTGAATAGCCCTATGTCTAATTAAGAACTTAAATTTATAATTTAAGATACTTCCACAAAGAAATTACCAGGTCCAGATATTCAGTGGTCAACACTACAAAACATTTATGGAAGTAATTATACCAATTTTATATAAACTCTTCCAAAACACTGAAAAGGAAAAAATACTTCTCAACTCATTATATGAAGCCAGGATCAGTCTGATAGCCAAACCAGACACACACATTACAAGACTAATATCTCTTTAAATATAGATCTCTTTAAATATAAATATAGATAAATATAGGAGCAGAAAGTATTCAACGTGAGCCTGATACATTTTGTTCTGATATTAGGATAGCAAAAAAGGCTATCAAATCTCTGGGCTGTTTTAAAACACCAGTACGAATTGATATTCCTACTGGCCACGGATGGAAAAAATGTAAGCATCAATCAGAATAACCATAGCAATGGATCAAAATACATCAAATATATTAAATCTAACTTCATGATAATACTCAAAATTATTTTATTGATCACCTTTGGAGAATACAAAGGAACCAACTCACTATTTTGAAAACTGTTAAACAAAGGGGAAAAAATCATTTATCCTGCCTTTCTTATGTCAACTCCACCTCATAATAACCAAAATTTTAATGAAGAGATGCTTTTTCTTTATAAAAGTCTTGGAACTAATCAATAAGGAAATAGGGATGGCCTCAAATTGTCATCTTTTTGCAATTCTTCATGGAATAAGGGATCTCAACAATTATCATCAAGGCTGCTAACATCAGTAAAAAGAAAGATAACCAGATAGTATGCGCCTCCTGATGAAAGTACTCTTTATGACCTAGGAATTGTTCTTGCCAAAACACTGAACCTGAATAAGTCTCTAAACCTAATTACCAGTTCACAGGAATAACACCATGGGGATGCAATCAGAGAATCCAGGTTCTGGGAATCCCAACTGTCCAAACAACCCATGGTATTTCTTCAACAAATACCATGCAAGGAGGAAAGAGACAGAAATAGAGAGAATTAAGGAGAAATTAGGATTTTTTGGAGAAATAAGGGGCATGTCAACCAGTTGCAACGCAGGGATCCTATTTGGATCCTGATTAAAACTAGAGGACAGAAAGTTAATGTTCACCAAATTCTTGATGATATTAAAGTCTAAGTGAGATTTGATAGTGATTATGGGTTGGCTTGGTTTTTCGAAGTCCTTACCATTTAGAGATAGATAACAAAACATTTGTAGATGAAATAATATGTTATCTTGGATTTGCTTCAAAACAATCTGGATTTAGAGAGGAAAGCAGCAGGTGAGTGTGAATGAAATAAAATTGGTCATGTGTTGAGCATTGTCAATACTGAAATACATGGAGATTCATTTTACTATTCTGTCTATTTTTATATGGGTGTGAAATTTTTCAAATGAAAAAGCTGTGGGCTTTTTAATATACCCATATCAAGCCAGAAAACTGCATTCCTATAGTTGGCTTCCTAATCTCCACCAATGAGTCTAGAGACTAGAAGACTGGTTTCATAGTCATAATAATAGTAATGTCAACAATAATATCCAGCCGGGGATTTAGCTCAGTGGTTTCGCCACCTGCTGCACAAGCACAAGGACCCGAGATCAATCCCTGGTACCAAAAAATAATAATAATAATAATAATAATTTCCAACATTTTTGGAGAACATACTATTTGCTAAACCCATGAGTTTTTAATGAATTCTTTTCATTTAATACAGACAAAATCCTAGGTAGTCAATACTAATGTTATCCACATTTTACAGATGAGGAACCTGAGGGACAGAGTTTTGGTGACAAAGCTAAGTTCACACCCACACCTGACCACAAATTTCCAACTTGTAACCAGTACCCAAGAGTAAAAGGTGACGACTGCTCTCACGTACTCATCTTGCTTTCTTTGGGCTGAATATCTTGAGTTCTTTCACTCCCCACCCAACAGCTTCAGTGGCCTACACCACCTTGTCAAATTCCTCAGGATGCTCGGTGCTATGAGAGCAGCTGAGTTTTTTGACAGCACGTGCAGCTTGCCTCAGCCCACCCCACCCAGCTGCATGGCCTCCCAGCAGCTAGGGTCCTTCCTCCCTCTAGACTGGGACCCCAAGCACATGCATGTTCCAGGGTTGGCACAGCTCACCTGGGCCCCGATGCCTCTTCTCCATCCAGATGTAGCAATTATTCTGGGCCACCCCGGTCTGTGAGTCCAGGAAGGGGAGCCGCACACTGCGTTCTGCACACAGCCGTGAGTTATAACTACGGCAATGTTCAATTGCTTCCTTGTAAAACTGGTCCCCAAGCCTGCCAGGAGACAGAGAGAGGGAGAGAAGAGTGAGGCCAGGGAAAAGCAAAACTCACCCAAAGAGATACTGGTGTCCCCGAGCAAGGGTCAGAATATAACTAAGTGCCAGGTCTGTACCAGACTGTCTCCCATCCCAAATCCACCAGGTAACTTAGAAACTCCTTTAACATGGACCAAAGAGCCCCAAGAATCAACCAGCAGTAGGTGAGACTAGTCCCTATTCTGAGAAGCTTGAGGTCCAGTTAGTTCCACACTGGAAGTAGCTCTGGAACTATTTTCTGCATGGAATCTAGAGGACGTCATGCATCTAGAGCCTCTTTAGCTATACTTTGTTCTCAGTGGTCACCAGCAAAGGTACTCTGGATGAACCCAAGCCACTAGCAAAGACACCCAGATTCCCATAGGAATGGAAGAGAAACACTCCATATAACAAAGACTAGAGGGGCCGGGGATTTAGCTCAGTGGTTCCGGTGCTGGCCTAGCAAGCACAAGGTCCTGAGTTCAATCGATTGTACCAAAAAAAAAAAAAATACTAGAAGGATGGAGGACGTATCCTATAAAGGCGAAGCTATTTACTGTAGAGAGAAGGAGGTGAAGAGGGACAAGCACCCGTCTTTCAAAGCCACACAGTTAAAGAAACTATCTCCAATGGAAAACAAGCAAAGGAAGCATTTAAAATAATATTGGAACTCAAAATAATTCAACTGCCAGAGTTAAAGACACAAATCAAAGACCTTTCTGGTTTGTAGGAGTGTTGATCTGATGAAGCACAAATTTATATTCCTGAATCCTTGGTATCCTTGGGCACATATGATGCTACTAACTTAAAGATAGTGTCTTTTCAACTTTATGAACAAAACCTCAGTAACAAGGGAACTAGCACAAAGAATCAACAACCGGGATCTCATCTTATTAAAAAGCTTCTGCACTGCAAGAGAAACCACCAACAGAGCTAAGAGACAACCTACAATGT